CTCTTCCTCTTCCTCCTCCTCTTCCTCCTCCTCCTTTTTATGTATTTAGTACAGGGTCTACAGGGTCTCACTACACAGATCAGACTAGTACTGATCCTTACTGGTTTCCAGCCTCCCAAGCGCTGGGATTACAGGTACAGGTCACCACACCCAGTCTCAGCACTCCCCAGGGTTGGGGCCGGCATGGCAGGCCTGGTATCAAACCCCAGGCCTCTGTGTCTGCCTAAGCAAGTGCTTTAATCCACTAAGCTATCTGGCTGACCCTGGGGGAGATGTTTCTAAAGAAAAGCCATAGGTGGTGATTGGATGCCTGGAATAATAGTGACCTTTAATAATAATAAAAAAATACTCCTTGGGCCAGAGAGATGGCTCAGTAGAATAAGCACTTGCCTGGCAAGTGAAACGTCCTGAGTTCAATCCCCAGTTCTGAAAAGAAAAAAGAAAAAAAGATACTCCTTTCAAGACACTTTACTTCCATCTGTTATAAAATAAATATTGAGGAGTCAGGCATAGTGGCACATGCCTCTAATCCCAGCATTTGGGAGGTGGAGGCAGGAGGATTGGCACAAGTTCAAGGCCAACCTTGGCTACAGAGTGAGTTCAAGGCCAGCCTCAACTGTATAGCAAGACCCTGTCTCAATAAGTAAGTAAATAAGTGAATAAATAAATATTTACTTTAGAGCTAGAGACTTGATTGTCACCTTCTGGGAAACTATAATAAATATAAAGCTCTCTGATAGCTGGATCCTGAATAGTGCCACTGTGATGTGGGTCTGGTTTTGCAGGCTGCCCTAAGGGCCACAAGTCAGGAGAAACATGGCATCCAGAGCCCTGTGTCGTCTGCACCTGTCAGGTAAGAGAATGAGGGCCTGATCCCATCCACCACCTGCGTCCCTGCTGCCCCAGGCCTGACCATACCCATCCTAATCTGGAGCCAGACCTGGCTGCTGCCTCCACCCAGGGGCTGGCGGCTGGAGCCTGCTAGACCACAAAGCCCACAGAGCAGCCCAGCTCGGGTAGCAAGGAGGGATGGAGATGGAGTCCATGTCTGGTCTGCAGGCTGGGTCCGTGCGGTGCCAGGGGCCTTTGTGCTCTGAGCTCAGCTGTCTGGAGAGCTACACTCCACCTGGGGAGTGCTGCCCTGTCTGCCTGCCAGGTGACCTCCTGCTCTGCCCACCCCTCCATCACCTTAGCCCCACTTGGGGTCATGCCATCCCTTGGGGATGCCTACCCCTGCTCTCTAGTGACCCACCTGTCATTGTGGCAACGCTCCCCAGGCTGTGAGTATGAGGGGCAGCTTTACGAAGAGGGAGCCAGTTTCCTGTCCATCTCCAACCCTTGTCTCCAATGTTCCTGCCTGGTGAGTCCTCTGCCACCATTGCTGAAGCCCAAGGCTGGGCCAGGCCAGTCACTCTTTTAGTCATTTATTTTATTTTTTTGCAGTACCGGAGTTTGAATTCAGAACCTTGTGTTTGCTAGGCAAGCGCTTATTTACTGAGCTATCTCCCTGACCCTCTTTTAGTCATTTATAATATGCCTTATGAGAGCTGGGGTCAGGGAGGTCCTCCCTCCATCCCTGCCTGACTCCTGCCTGCTGCACACCCTCTGGGAGACCTGAGGGCAGCTACAGCTATTGATGTTACAGAGGAGCCTGGTTCGCTGTGTGCCTATGAAGTGCCCATCCAGTCCCTGCCCTGAGCCAGTTCTGAGACCTGGGCACTGCTGCCCAGCCTGCCAAGGTAAGAACCCCTGACCTTTCTCTCATGGAGCCCCTGGCAGGCCCTCATATCATTTCTTCACTTCCACAGCTCATTCTGTTGGCCTCTGATTTGGTTTGGGGTTGAGGGGAGTATCTAAGCCTACTCTAGAGCTGCAATGCCTAAGTTCAAATTCTGCCACTGTCACTTAGTGGTTGCATGACTCTAAGTCACTCTGTGCCTCTGTTTCTTCATTTGTCAGATGCATATAATGATATTCTAGACCTCACAGTGCTGGGTAGTAAATGGCCACTATTACGTGCTTTCAGCATGCCAGCACCAAAGATGAGGGGACTGCCTTCAGGGATGACTGCTAGAGAGTGACCCTGAGTCACACCAGTACCAAGAAACAAATGTCACAGTTAGGAATAAAAGCAGGGGCCAGGTGCTGAGAAAAACTAAGAAGACCACCTCACCCAGCTGGGCCCAGGAGAGAAACAACCCAGAGGGAGCGGATGCCGAGGGGACCCTTACGATAAAGAGCAATTAGCTAGGTGATGCCCAAAGAAGGCAGAGGACATTCTAGGAAGAAGGAGCAATGTGAGCAGGGCTTGGCCCTGACCCTTGGAGTGTGCTAGGGTGCAGTGCAAGTAGCTATGAATGGCCAAACGCTGAAGAGAGAGGAACAGAGCATCCCCTGGAGCTGGGCAGGTGAGTGTGGCCTGCTATAGAGGTATGCTCTGGGGGGCTGGCTGCCTCCAGGGGCTTCACTCTTCCTCGGCAGAGACTTAGCCTGGTCTGGCGAAGGCATTTGGGGAGCCCTGGGTCCCCTCCCACCAGACCTCCCCTGTACCCAGCCTCAGGCTGCACAGAAGGTGGTGTTCACAGGCACCATGGCCAAGAGTGGACGGCCCCCGGGGACCCCTGCCAGATCTGCCGATGCCTGGTGAGTCTTGTTACTCACCCCATCCTGCCCTTGGGTTTACTGGCTTCATAACCTCATTCTGGCGAGCACATCCATGGGCAGTGGGAGGGGACAGAGATGGAGAAGACAATCTTGGGTGCTGTAAGCACCGGGCCTGGAGTGCTGAGCCATGCACAATCTGAGCCCAGGGGTGTGCAGCAGGTTTGTGATCCAAGCTCGAAGAAGCGGGGGAGACAGTGGGATATGATGGCAGCAAAAGCACCAGGGAGCAGTCCACTCAGCTGGGACAGCCAGCTGAGTGGTCAGCACTACTAGCAGTCGCTGAGCCTTGGAATGTGGCGGACAGAACTGAGATGTGCCTAAGCATGCGATCACACCAATTTCAATGGTGTAGGAGGAGCCAAGAGGTGTAAAACAGCTTATTAATATCCTGCATTGGTTACTGTGTACGTTGAAATAATATTTTGGATCTACTGGACAAATGGAATATATTACTAAAACTTTTTTGTGGGATTAAATCACATGTGTTAGGTAATAACCACTGAGCTGCATCCTGGTACTTTTTTTTTTTGCGGAATGGGGATTGAACTCAGGCCTTGTGCTTGCCAGGCTTATTCTACTGAGCTATCTCCCCAGCCCCTATCCCAGTACTTCTTAAAATTTTATTTTGAATCCTTGGTCCCGCGTGCCGTGCCGGCCCCACCCCCCGGGAGCCCTGAGACAGTGATTGAGACTGGGCATGGTGACGCACTCCTGTAATCCCAGTGCTTGGGAGGCTGAAAAACAGGAGGATCACTACGAGTTCTATGTAATGAGACCCTGTAGACCCTGTACTAAATACATTAAAAAATAAATAAATAAAAAATAAAATGTTTTTAAACATGGTATGATGTACACTCCTGTAATGCAGCACTCAGGAGGCTGAGGCAGGAGAACTGTGAGTCTGAGGGTAGCCTGAGCTACATAACAAGCTAGCTACATAGTGAGACCCTGATTCGAAAAAAAGAAAAAAAAAAAAAAATCCAAAACTTGGATTTGAGAGAATTTAACAGCTTTCACTAAGCTTCCCTCTTAGCTTGCACCCTAACAGCTTTTAGAGACCCTACTCTGGGCTTGGGACCCTGTACCCACTGACACACCATCAGACATACATCTAAGTGGCCTGCCATATGTTGATCTTGAGTAGTACAGATCTAGAACAGTACCATGAAAGGGGTGGTGTTTGCCTAGGCCTTACAGGATGAGTTGGATTCGAGGAGAAGGAGGTAGGGGAGGATACTCTGAGAACAGGGAGTAAAGGGAACGAAACCAGGGACCTGAAGGCCCTCGTATTAGGCAGGCAAGTGTCATGGAGCTTCCTGACAGCCTGATAAACTCTTGTGAAGGCCACTAGGATGCCCAACTCCCATGTCCTTCCTGCTCACACTGACACACCTGCGAGAAGAGTCACCGGGTGCCCTGCTGGCGCTGGACAGATATGAATTTGAGAAACAGTATCTGTTGGGAGCAGGCTGGGCTGGGGGTAGCAGCAATCATGTTAAGTACAGGCTTCAGAAGTGGGAGCCACACGGATACCTCCTTTCCCTTCATCCCCATCACAAGCCTAGGAGGATAGGACCATTGACCATCTTTTCCAGATAGCTAAACCAAGTCACAGAGCACTTGAGTAACAGTACTAGGTTTTTACATTGGTACAGCATTAGCTTCCTAAGTGCCATAACAAGGGACAGCAGACCCAGGGGTGTAAACAGCAGAAAGGCAATCTAAGTCCAAGATTCTGAGGGCTGTGCGGGAACATCTGTTCTGTGCCTTTCCCAGTGTGTGCATGCGTGTGTGTGCATGTGTGTGCGTGTGCTGGCACTACTTGGCTTTTTGTGTGTGGGGTTTAAAGTTCCCCTTGTTACAAGTACAGCTCTAGTATGACCTCATGTCAACTAATTACATCTGCAGCAGACGTATTTCCAAATAAGGTCATATCCTGAGGCGTCAGGGGCCAGGACTTTGGCATAAGAATGGGGGGGGGGAGTGCAACTCACCCGCAACAACACCCAATGCTCAGAAGGGTGGGACTCTGATGCTGTTTCTGCTATTTGCCTGAACCCAGACTGCCCCTCCCCTGTCACCCCTACCAGGAGGGCCACATCCAGTGCCGCCAGCGAGAATGTGCCAGCCTTTGCCCCTACCCTGCCCGGCCCCTACCAGGCACCTGCTGCCCGGTATGCGATGGTGAGTCAGTGGGTGGAACAGGGCCCCAGATGGACCCTGGCCCAGCCCAGGCTTCCCATGGAGGCCAGGAGTGAGGCAGCAAGGCCCCTGAGGACAGCCTGCACTCCTCTTCCCAACAGGCTGTTTCCTAAATGGACGGGAGCACCGCAGCGGGGAGCCCGTGGCCTCCAGAGATCCCTGCTCTCGCTGCCGCTGTGCTGTGAGTGTGGCTGCCTGGCAGGACTGGCCTGGCTTCTGGGCCTACCTACCTCCTGCTGACCACACCCTGTTGGCAGAACGGGAGCATCCAGTGTGAGCCTCTGCCCTGCCCACCTGTGCCCTGCAGACACCCAGGCAGGATCTCTGGGCAGTGCTGCCCAGTCTGTGATGGTGAGTGGAAGCCGTGGCTGCTGCCAAGGGGCAGGTGCTGGCTGCAGAGGGCCTCTGAGTGGCGATGGGCTTGGCTTCTTTGCACCTAAGCTGATGTCCCCATGGGTGAGTCCGTACCTCACCTTCTCAGGGAAAAGTAGGGACTGGTGGGAGCTGTGCTTCTGTGGCATGAGGAGGGGCTGGATGCCTCAGGTGCCAGCTCTGCTCCCCACCCCTAGCCACCTGTCCTCCCATCCAGGCTGCGAGTACCAGGGACACCAGTATCAGAGCCAGGAGACCTTCAGTCTCCAGGAGAGTGGCCGCTGTGTCCGCTGCTCCTGCCAGGTGGGCAGTCCCACCATCTCCCACCCAGGCTGTCTTGCCCCTTAAGGGTCTCTCACATGGCCTTCCTCCTAGGCTGGCGAGGTCTCCTGTGAGGAGCAAGAGTGCCCAGTTGCCCCCTGTGCCCTATCTGGCTCTGGCCTGAGGCTCTGCCCAGGTGAGTGCTGCTGGGCAGGTGTATGGGAGGAGGCTGTTGTTCCATTGCAGCAAGGAGGAAAATTCAGGGGGCCCAGAGGCTCCAGGAGGATGGCATCTGGGGACACTGAGGGCTGGAAAAGACAGGATGGGTGGCAAATGTCCCAGCTGCCATGGTGGCAACCCTCTCAACTGCAGCCTGTGTGCTCCATGGAGAGGAGTTTCCTGAAGGGGTCCAGTGGGAGCCCGATGGTCAGCCCTGTACTGCCTGCTCCTGCCAAGAGGGTGTGCCAGTCTGTGGGCCTGTGCTCTGCTCTCCACCCCCCTGCCAGCACCCCACCCGGGAACCCGGTGAGTGCCCCAGCCCCTCCTTGGCTTTCTTCCCCTGCTTCACCCTGCCCACCTGACCAGCCCGCCCCACCCAGGTGCCTGCTGCCCCCACTGTGAGAGCTGCACCTACCATGGCCACGTGTATACCAATGGGCAGAACTTCACAGACACGGGCAACCCTTGCCAAACCTGCCGCTGTGAGGTATTATGCCTCTCTGGCTTGCTGTTGTCCTGCCAAGCCCCTCCTGGGGCTACCCCACAGCTTCTCCCTGCTCTCAGGAAGGGACTGTGAAGTGTTCTGTGATCGACTGCCCTCCTACCACCTGTGCCAGGCCGCAGAGTCGAGCTGGCCAGTGCTGTCCCCGGTGTCCAGGTACGGCTCACTTCTAACAGGCCTGTCGCAGATCAGATGGTCTGTTTTGGTCCTACACAACAAAGAATTCTCTGGTATTCAGGAGGTGTGGGTGGGAGGAGAGGAGAGATTTGTTGTCCTTTCCCTCCTGTCCTGTATTTCCTCTTCCAAAGCCTCACTTCTCAGGTACAATCACACTGTCACCTGAGTGACACAAGTCCAGGCATCATGTCTGTATCTGTATGTAAAGGGTGGGTGCTGGGGTGTCACAAGCAAGGGCATACAGACTCTTCACCCCTGCACCCTCAGAGACACTTGTGCCTGCAGGTGACAGAGTCCAAACACACGTATGCACGTGCGCGCGCTCTCTCTCTCTCTCGCGCACACACACACACACACACACACACACACACACACACACACATTCATGTGCTCAGGGCAGCCTGCTTCCACATACACTGCACACAACCCTCTCCCTTTATGGATTCAGATTCCCAAGCCAGCACATCCTGCTGGCTCTGGACTTCCCCGAAAGAGGGGCTGTCGCCATTCCCCCCATTCCCACCCCTGCTGCCCAGACTGTATCCTGGAGAAACAGATGTTTATGGATGGCCAGCACTTTCCCCACCCTGGAGACCCCTGCCAAGAATGCCACTGTCGGGAAGGCCAGGCCGGCTGCCAGCCTCGCGCCTGCCCCCGGGCTCCCTGTTCTCACCCACTACCCGGGACCTGCTGCCAGAGTGACTGCAGTGGTGAGGAGAGGTGGGGAGGGTTCTCGGCTCAGGCCACAGGGTTCTCCCTCGGGCCTAGATCTGCTGCCTCCCTCAGGCTGCGCCTATGGTGGGAAAGAGTACCCCAGCGGAGCTGACTTCCCCCACCCCTCGGACGCCTGCCGCCTGTGTCACTGTCTGGTGAATGCGCCCTGGAGGAGCCCATGGGGGTGGCAGGGAGGGCAGGCTTCGGGTGCCCTGGAAAGGCCCACTGGATCGGGTGGGATGGCCGGAGATCTCGGACTTGTCCTAAGCCCGCTCTGCCCGCTCCGCAGAGCGGCAACGTGCAGTGCCTGGCCCGCCGCTGCCCGCCGCTGTCCTGCCCCGAGCCGGTACTGCCCCCCGGAGGCTGCTGCCCGCAGTGCCCGGGTAGGAGCTGCTGCGCGCGGCCGCTGCGTCCCCACCTTACCCCCGCCTCTTGGGTCCCTTCTGACCCCCTCTCCGCTGTAGCCGCCCCCGCCCCCGCCCCCGCCGGCTGCCCGCGGTCTGGAGGCGCCCTCTCCGCCCGCCACCAGGAGTCCTTCTCCCCTCCCGGCGACCCCTGCAGCCGCTGTCTCTGCCTCGACGGCTCGGTGTCCTGTCAGCGGCTGCCCTGCGCGCCCGCACCATGCGCCCACCCGCGCCGAGGGCGCTGCTGCCGCGTCTGCGACGGTACGGCCCGCCCTTGGTTCGCTCTCACGCAGTGCAGTCCGAGGCCAGGGCAGCCTAGAATCGCCCTCCGTGTGGGCTCAGCCCTCGCACCTCAGTGGTCTCGCTAGGAATTAAGGAGATGGGGTTTAGCTCAGTGGCAGAGCCCTTGTCCAGCATGCACAGGCCCCGGGCTCATTCCTAGCGCTAAAGCGGGGAGTGAGGGGATGGGGGATGGGGGGACAAAGCTGTGTCTCAGGGCTCAGGAGCCAAATGCCGGGGACCCGCGCCTTCCGTGCATCCACAGGCTGCCTGTACCAGGGAAAAGAGTTCTCCAGCGGGGAGCGCTTCCCGTCGCCCAGCGCCGCGTGCCAAGAGTGCCTCTGCTGGGAGGGCAGTGTCACCTGCGAGCCCAGGGCATGTGCCACTGCGCAGTGCCCCTTCCCTGTCAGGGGCAGCTGCTGCCCAACCTGTGATGGTGAGGGGTGGGGCCGGGGCATTGTGTGTGTGGGGGGTGTTGATCTGGTCGGAATCCTCTTTACTGTTCCAGAATGGAAAAAATATATATATATTTTTTTACAGTAAGAAAATGATCTGAGGGGCCCGGGAGATGACTCAGTAGAATAAGCGCTTGCCTGGCAAGCTCAAGGGCCTGAGTTCAATCCCTGGTTCCACCAAAAAAAGAAAAAAGAAAATGATCTGGGCTACTGGCTGTCTTTTCTACTGCCTTTGATGCTATTTATATGACTTTGGGCAGATTCCATAGACTCTTTGGGCTTAATTTTTAACTCCTGCTAAAAAGAAAAGAACAGATCAAACAGACTCAGTTCCTACATCTTTTTTTTTTTTTTTTTTTTTGGCAGAACCGGGGATTGAACTCAGGTCCTTGTGCTTGCCAGTTGCCAGGGAAGCGCTTATTCCACTGAGCCATCTCCCTGGCCCCTTCTACATCTTTAAAGTCTTGAACTATTTACAATTGTTGCTACACAGCTCCTATTAACAGACTTTTTATTTATTCAGTACTTTTCCTCAAATAAATTCATTTATTAATTTAAATTTATTTAGACAGGAATTTAAATCACAGAAAGTGGAAAATTAGGAATAGAGCACTTGGGGCCAGGGAGATGGCTCAGT